CACTAACTTTGGTGTTTTTTTTCAAGGCGCCGGACTGTTGTAGTGTACTGTGTAATTATTTTTTAGGCCCACTGTGTGAGTCATGACTTCGTGGTCGAGAGAGGCAATTTTATCCTTTATAGAAACCTAAGCTATAGCACATATATCAAAAACAGAAGTTTATGAAAGTGAGCTGAAACCGTATTCCCCTGAATATCCATGTCAATTGTAAACAACTGAAACAGGTAAAGGAGTTTATATGTCTTGGCAGTACTTTTTCTGAAAATGGGTCCTTAGACAGAGAAATAGAAATGCGAATTCAAAAGCTAACGCTGTCACCTACCAGCTCGCACCCTTCCTATCCCATCCAAACATCTCTATGGACACAAAGAGACAGCTTAGCTCCTCAATATTCATACCAATTATACAGTGCCAGACGTGGACATTAAGTAAAACCCGTGAAAGGAAAATCACCACATACGAAATGAAATGTCTCTTCAAAACCCGTAAGATCACAAGACGAGACAGGCAGAAAAATGAAGAAGTAAGAGCAGCTATCGGCATTGAGTCCTGCCTGCATTATATAGCAAGGCCCACGCAGCGCCGATGAGTGTGACCGAAATCGGGGACTCTTGTATAGGCGCTGCGGGCTTGTTTTACCGGACCCGTTTTCTCACAGTGCCCTATTTTCATTCACTCATACGGGCTTGTTTCTCAATGGATGAAAGCAAAACTTGGCAGCCAATGAAAAAAGAGGTCAAACTGGTCACATGCGAAAAAGAAAACACGTAGGTTACTTGGTTATGGTGCTGTTCGTGTCCGAAGTTGGAGCACTCGGCTACACCAGATTTGGTTGAATTTTGGATTTCTTTTTCACAACCTTGGTTGACAACCTTTTTCCTTTATTGTCTTCAAATTTTATTAATTTATGTTGCATACTTTTTGCGTACCATTGCAAAACACCACCCAAACTCGACTGCATTCGGGCATTCCACTGAGTAGGTCGGGCTAGCCGGCGTCGAGTGGAAAATTCCATGACGTCATAAAGAAACAGGTTGGGGAAAGTCTACTGCGCGAGAGAGACGAGGAAACCGTGTTCGCTAGTTCGGCTTTCCAAAAGCTAAAAAGCACTTTTTAGGCTTTATCTTTATGCCTGCATGAAATTTATTTGCTATGAATATGATAAAAAGACTTTCTGCATACAAAAAAATCGGGGAGGAGAGATCACATTCTTGCGTTATCGATCGATGTCGACGGTTCTCTCGATCCTGTTATTCCCCCGACCTAGATCTACATGGACTCGTCAGTTTAGTGCCAAGGAACAGGAATTATAATACTACATAGTAGTTATGATAGTAACTTACATAAATTCATAGAATGGCTTTCTAGTTAGTAAGGAACAAAATATAGATGAAATCTAAAGAATTGGTGACTGAGGGGTCTTTTTTATGTATGATTACTAGTATTTTCCACCAATTATGTACCGGTACGGAGATGGGTAAACTTCTGCAAGAAAAAGCATTGTGGACACCGAACTGGAGCCACAACCACGTTCTGGGGGGGCGCATCTTGTGTATTTCAAATGCTAAGGAGGTTCAAGCAAAATTTAACAAATTCAAATAAACCCAACAGGGTCAGTACACTTTCTCTTATCTTCTGTTCCATTTCAGATGTTTGTTTGCTTGCATTCACTATCTGTTTTTGGTGCCTGTACACAGAGCACACCTGGTATGTTATGTTATACAATTATACACAAAAATTTTGCAAGAAAAGTTAATGGATATCCCATTTTAGTAACATACCCAGGATACATTTTCAACATTTTCACTCACAGTGATAAAAGAGCCTTTCATACCAAAAAAAATAACAGCAGATTTGGAATCTGCAGGAAAAAATACAAAAGATGGCCAAATTTCGTAGATATATTTTAAAAAATAAGAAAGTTGCAGGAGTTTGAATGTTTGCCGCAAGTCCTTGGCCTAAAATTTCTATGAATTTTTTTACACATTTCCCCTGATATTTTAAAAACTACTGCAGATACATCAAATATCTGTATAGATATAGGTTTTGCAGGAAAAACTACAACAGGCTGCCAAGTTTCATTCATGTATTCCGTTTACTACGGAATTTTTGATAAAAAGTGCCTCAATACACCCAAAAATGTGGACAGTGTTTTGGGATTTTTTCCTTATACTGTAGTCTCTGCCTAAATGCACGCCATACAAAAGCACGCTCCGCTCAAACGCACGCCTTCGTCATCTGACGGGTTTTTTACCATTTAATTTAGACGTACAAACGCACGGTTACTCCCTCTAAACGCACGCTCCGATCTGCGAAACACGCCGACAAGTTAAGCTTGGCAAGGGGAAATTTCCACTACAACCTGCACAGCCTGCATAAGACAAGCTAGAATTTACTAGAAAACCGGATATTTGGTGAGAGTGCCCCTCACGCTGTACAAAGAGAGTAATGGACAGCGTTTACACATCCTACTTTCCACTGTCGCACAGGTCTCGATCTAGGGCTGGTCGGCTAAATGTTGGAAGGGGGGATTGGGGGGACTGAAAAGTTTTTTGATTGGTCACTGGAAATGTATCTTTGAGAGAAGGTTTCTGGCTGGTGTTTGAGTGACTTCGTGTAATGTTTAGTTAAATCTAGGCCTGATGCGCGACACGCGCGAATGCCGTAAAACACTAGACAGGCCTCTATAGGATTTTAAAGATTAGACAAGGAAGCCTAATCAGCTGTACTCGAAGAACTTATAACGTACTTGTTTTACGAATCACAAGAGAAAATGTTTCTCGGGGATGATTCTGCATGAATTTAGGGTTGGGGGTGGTCGCTTACGTGGCTGGTTCGTCGTCTCTATGACTATGACCAACAGTTTCCTCTTAGGCTATCTGTTCCCGACGTTTACAGTGCATATTCATTACATTGAGTTTGTCTCCCCCCCCCCCCCCCCCCCACCTCCATTCAACGCCTTTGTATTCTTAACCCGTCGGGGAATCCTTCACAAAACAGTCACGTGTCGTCACATTATCTGCCAAAATGACCCCCTCCTCCAAGGGAGGTCACTAGAGTAATAAGGAATTGAGATGACTGCGTCCCTTCCTCCCCTTGCAAAGGTTCATGTAAACGCACGCTCCGTATAAACACACGCTTAGGAGCCCTCCCGAGCATCGTGTGTTTAGGCGGAGACTATTGTATGAGAGTCACCCCAAAAAAAATTCATTTAAAAAATCATAACTTTTTATTTATGAACGAATTGTCAAAATTCAAAAACTGTGTTACTCAGCAGAGATAAGGCTATCATATGCACATTGTTTTGTTGGCTTAAAAGCAAAAAACAAATTTCATGTTTCTTGCTACATTATATAGAAAGACAGAGAAAAAAATGGTTTGGCCACCTGTTGCGTGTATGTCACTTGGCCAGCAAGTCTCGAGAGCCTACAACACCAAGCACTCAGGCTATTGCTATAAAGGAAGAGGAAGGCCATGCAAAAGATGGATCGAGGGTGTCAAGGAAACCCTGAGATAACATAATATCACAACTAAAAGAGCTTCGGAGTTGGCTTACCATAGAAAACTGCATCTTCCCTCGACGCTTAACGGCAACAGAGGATGAAAAAGTAAAAGTAAAGTATAGAAACCTACAAATCGTATGACTGTTTGTGGCTGATCAAGTCAAAGGACTATAGCTATATATAGAAGTTTAAAAGACAAAGCACATGAACATTTGGTTCGGTTCACAATTCAAATTGGCAAAACAGCCAACCGAAAAAGAAAAAAATCCCCTCGGACAGCATTCCGAAAGGAATTGAAAAAATGTTGAAAGTTCGAAGACTTTGGGGGAGGAGAAGATGTTTATTGTCATGTATGTGCCCAAGCTGTGGTATTTCAATGAATTACTCTTTTTAAGTTTAAGGTGTTGACCTCTCATTCAAAGGTCCCGGGTTCGAATCCGGGTAGCGCCCGAAAAATTTTCTTCTCTAAAATTGTCTCCTTTCCCCTCCTTTCCTGCTCTCTATCAATGTTCTGTTGTCTGCTTTCCTTTCCACTTTCTGCCCCCACCCCGTGACCTCCTTTGCCCCCTTCTCAGGGCTCTTGACTCTTTCTGCAGCCTTTCTACTGCTACTCCTTGTCTCCTCCTTACTGCTGTCTTTCTGCCACACCCCTGGTCTTCTGGTAGGAAAGGTCTTCACCTAGCTTTCTCGGACAAGGGTGAAAAATCTCGGAGGGCCCGTGTGCAAGTTGCGCATGTTAAAGATCCCTTGGTGGTCTAAAATTGATAAGAGTAGGCTTCGGCGCCACCCGGGCAAGATTCAAAATTTCTTACCAACTGAAAATATTAGGTGTGTCCCGCGCGCTCATATGACCTTATGCAGTTGCGAGCGCCGTAAAACACTTTACAAAAACAAAAAAACAAAAAAATCTACTTGATCAATTCAATTTACAGGTCTGTTGGACGCTTTAAAGACTTTGTAGGGGGTTAGGTATTAAATGCTTACCAAATTAGTTTTGAGGCTGAATGAAGATTGAATTTCCCCACTGCCAGGTGCTTTATTTATCGTACTGTTTGCGTCAAATATTTTCTGAGTTCTTTCATGTCATTCTTGGGTAACATTGTAATCTTTGGAACTCCCTATGCCCTATGTAGCCAGTGGGCATTTCTGCTGTATTGTAAAGGCACAATGGGAATTTGTACTTGCATTTATGTTACTGTAAAGTGCCAAGAGCCTTGTAGGGGAGAAGGGACATAAAAATGATCCACTAAATTTTATTTAATGTAATAATTATTACTGATGACTGATGAAGATTTAATGTAAGTTTTTGATTTTGTTTACGCTATCTGTAATCTGTTTGTTACATTTCAATGTTTTTTCCTCATTCACTTTCAGCAAGTTGATTCCTGTGCAGACGCTAGTGGAGCAGCAAGGCCTGTCAGTGTTGGCGCTTCGTGATGACAAAGGCCACACGCCTGCGCACTGGGCCTGTCTTGGGGGACACACTAGTATTCTCAGGTGAGTAGGAGCTTGAACTGTGACCAGGTTTCATTTAGAATTCCAATTTAAAAAAAAAAAAAATTTTGTGGGGGGGTTCTTTTTTGTTTTAAAGTTTGTTTTGTTTTTGTAGAGGTTTTACACAACTGCTTAATAAGGTCATATGAGCGCCAGTTTTAAAGTTTAAGAAGGGACACACAGGAGGGGGAAAGGAGAGAGGAGGGCTGTATTTTATTTTTGATATCATAATTTTTATTTTCTTTCAAATAAATCTTTCAGTCATTTGTGTCGTGACATGGTGGAATCAAGCTCTTAGCAATTTTGGGCATATGTGTACAGTAGAACATGACTATAGTGGCACCCGCGACAGCGTGACCGTACCGGAATCCCCCCCCACCCTTTTTTTTTGGATGTAAACTGAATTACCTGTGCTCGGGTTTAGCGGGGCAAGGAAAGGCACGAAGTCGAATACCACAGGAGAGATTGAGCAAGCTCTAGCAGGAGGAAAGGGGGCTGTAGGCGGGCTCCAAACAGGCAGTCAGCGGTTCGGCGTTGTACGAGGGAAAAGCGGAAAAGGTCCATAAAGGCAACAATCTTTGTCCTATTATAATTAAAATGTAACACTTCATACCTCAACTTGTGCTTTATTTCTCAATGTAATCACCATCCCGCTGGACGCATTTTTCCCATCTTTGGATCAGGGAGAAGATACCCTCCCTGAAAAAATTTTCGTCAAGGGATGTCAACCAATCTTTCACGGCTTCCACGAGGTCTTCGCCGTTGGTGAATCGATGTTCAGAAATATGGCGTTTCATTGGTCCAAAAGGTGATAATCTGTTGGGGTGAAGTAAGGACTGTGAGGGGGTGTGCAGAACTTCCCAGCCAAACCTTTGGATCCTGTCTTTCGTAGCGTTTGCGGTGTCTGGCGTTGCGTTGTCATGCTGCAAAATGACCCCGCTGGACAACCGACCTGGTCTTTTTCGCCACACAACCTCTCTCAATTTATCAAGAATCTGGCAGTATCTGTTAGCATTAACAGTTTGTCCTGGTTCCAGAATGTCAAGAAGCAAAACACTCATAGCGTCCCAGAAAACCGTGGCATGAGTTTCTTCACCGATGGCTGAATTTTAAACTTTTTCGGGGGGGCAGGTGAAGACGTGTGCTTCCAAACCATTGAATCCCTCTTCTTTTCAGGGGTCATATGGTGTATCCAAGTCTCGTCTCCTGTAATAATGCTTCTCAGAAATGCTTCATCGTATTGTTGGGGGTCTCCAGATGCATTCATGACTCCCGTGACAGCTTGGCAACAACGATTCAACAAAGTCTGAGACGCTTCAACACGTTGCGTCTTGTGGTCAGCTGTCAGCTCTTTTGGGACCCATCGAGCAGAGCACTTTTGATAGTGCAGCTCATCAAACACTATCCTATGGACAGTCTACTTTGAAATGTTTAGCTACTCGGAAATTTCGAAAATTTTTAGGCGCCTGTCTGTTTGAATGAGTTCGTTAACGCGACTCTTGTTGTCCTCAGTCTTGGCAGAAAAACAAGGTCCAGGGTGAACTTTGTCGTTGACATCCGCATGCCCGGCTTTGAACTTACTACACCATTCATATAACTGTGACTTTGCCATTACTTTCTCCCCGTAAACTGACTTCATTTCAATGTGTATTTCATAGGTTTGAGACCTTTTGTGGTCAGAAACCGAATGACAGACCTCACTCCTACCCTTGACCAATTTTCCGAGGGGGTAGCCATCTTTGGAGAACTGCTGTGTTGGTTTGCTTTGTACAATGCTCATGGTGCTCAATCGGGAAATTCCTAAATGATTGTTTTACAAGTGTGCATTTACAGAATGTGAAAATATTGAATAGTTTTCAAATTACAAATTCTGGTTTTCCGTGAGACAGTCCTCGTAATTGGCCAGTCCAGGGATGAGTGAGGTCGGACAGGCGGCAGAGAGAGATGGTGCAGAGAGACGCGTTATGTGAGTCACTTCAAAAGTGATGTGCTGTAGCTTAGACACTCAGTATGAGAGCGTATAGGCCATCGCCCTAGGCCTAGGCTAGGCCAAAAAGTAAAAGAAAAGGAGAGCCTATAGTGTGTGATTCCTGATTCATTGAATTGTGATCAATGATGCTGTTAGGCATATGCACGCATCGATTTCTCCTGTTCAACAGTAGGCCTAACGGTACGATAGACAGCTGAAGCAAGGAGACCGAAGAAAAGATGGCTTCCAACAAAGACAGAAGGAGGCTTCTCACTCGAATTAAAGGCTGAGAAAATCATGACAAGAAAAGGAAGAAAAATGTAAAGTGCAAATTTTATTGATATGGAAGGGAGATAACCATGTATATTTTAAAGAATTTTCTGTAATTTTCCCTTTGCATTCCTATAGCGGGAACTTGCCTACAGCGGGATTTTTCTTCTGGAACCAAATGTCCCATTATAGCCGTGTTCTACTGTAGTAGGCCTATTGATATAATTTCATAGCCTGTTCATTTGTCTTGCTTTTGATGAAAAAATACCAATCATTTTGGAACAGAAGCTGAGACGTATATTCTATTAAAAGAGATGGGGATCGCCTGGTGTCCGAGGTAACCTATAAGCAAGAAAAACGCTGCAAAGTTTGATGACTTCTAAACCTTAAGTGTCCTTGGAAACTACAAATTTTTGTACTTTTGATCAACTACTGGATGGGCCTATTGGTTGGTCTCATGGATAAAGGACAAACAGATTGGAGTTGATAGGCCTATTGGTCAATTGGTCTGTTTTGAGAAGAACACAGCCCGATAGAACTCAATGTATGTCAGTAAAACCCACAAATAAATGTGAGGCAGCATAGTGAAACCTGGTGCTCGTCAAAAATCTGAAAATGAAAAAATTGTCAATTTTCTACAGGTTTGGGAATTTTTATCAAATTTTTTAGGTGGGGGGAGGAGACTCAACTCCTTTCGTGCCCATTAAAGAACACATTTTTGATTTCTGTGTGAATTTGACTGAAGGACATCGATCAAAGGCACAGAATATGTACATTGTCAATTTTTAAGGACTCAAGCTATTTGAAGTTTACCAAACTTTGGCAGTCATTTTCTCTCTAATTTTACCTCTGAAAACAGGCAAACTCAAGCTCCTTCAGTCACAAATATCTCATCTTCTATTCGCAATAGATGGTTATTTTTACATCGAAAGCTAGGCAAATGAATAAGCTTTCAGATGATACCAATAATGCCACATACCCAAAAATTGACGAGTGTCTGATTCCACAACGTCATGACATAAATGTGTTTCTATGATGATACTATATGGACATTAAAATGTGTTGAGCCCCCCCCCAATTAAAAAAAAAATGCATTTCCGCTTTTTACTGTCCCCCAAACTTTGTTCTTGTTAAATTTATTATTGCTTTTTCTCTTTAAAAAAAATTTTTTCTTTGTGACAGGATAGCACTTAGTTATGTTTTTATACGAAGCTGGCATGTGTTTTGTTTTGAAAGTTAGAATGATTTTGTGGGCAACTGACCGGTGAATGTAAATCCTGGTGGATATAGTGCATTCACATACATTATGCATCATTTCACCTGTTTCAGACATATGCTGGCACTCATTCATTTTGTCATATCTTGTACCTCTGTTAGAAAATCTTCCTCCTTTGCAGGTACATGATAGAGAACAAAGTTGCCATTGATGAGGCTAGTTCCAATGAACTCGGAGCTCACCCTGTTCACTGGGCTTGTGTCAATGGGCACATTGCAGTGGTGGACATCTTGACCCAGGTAGTTATCTTTTATAATAACTTTAAAATGACAGTTTGTCAGTTTCTAGTACTCTACAGTATATATGGGACTTAGATAACTTTGTAATGTGTGATCCTTTCAAGAGGGGAGGGGGGAGGCTTCAGTAAAACTTTCATTCTCAGAACAAGGATGTAATGGAAGTTGGGACTCCCCAAAAGGCTTAAGAATTCCCCCGTTTTACATTTTAAAATCAACAAAATTCGTTATATTAAATAAAGGCTTAAGCAAGAGAATTCTCACCAGATTCACATATAGAGCAAACAACCCCTTCCTTGTCTTCGTTGTGACTTGTTCAGAACAATTGCTCACATTGGTCACATGTTTTTCCTCACAAAGACATTTGCAGTCAACGAAATTGAAGGCTGGATCTCACTGCCTGGTAACTGAAGAGATGTCATTTTTGTTTTTAGATTAAATAGATATATATCTAGATTTCTACACAGAAAACACAATGTATTGTGTGTATGTATAGTATGTGTTGCTACTTGTATTTGCTATGCACTCAGAGCATGTGATGTATTCTTTGATCAGGGTTTAGCTTTATTATTTGAATGTCATTTATTATTATTATTATTATTATTATTATTATTATTTATTTTGTGTCTGTAGGTGGGTGTGGATTTGGATGTGACTGACAACAAACACTGCACTCCTCTCATTGTGGCTGCTCAGTATGGCCAGACCATGCTGGCCGGCTACCTCATGGGCAAAGGGGCACGACTGCAGCTGACTGATAAGGATGGCGATAATGCTTTACACTGGGCTGCCTTTAAAGGTGAGAGATTTTCATTTCAGTTTAAATGTGAGTGCCATTTTTCTGGGCATTTACTTCCAAAATTTCTATCTCTGGCAAAATGAGGCTGTCGTTGTTCTCACTTGCTGTAAACTACAGTCACCTGTGGAAATTATTTCTGTATCTTCCCATAAGAACACCAAAGAAAGGTAACACTTCGCTTGATTCTTATAGTAAATCAAATATACCTATTACTTGTACAGAAATATCCCACAAATGCTATAAAATCATCAAAATCATTGCTAGGAGCAGATTGTGACAGTGAACAGGTACCAGTCATGTGAAAGATGCAGTTATAGTTGAAAAAAAAAAAGATTAAGTCAAAGCACCAAGCAAAATTTCAAACGAGTCTTTTGAGGAAAAGTCTAGAATCTAAATAACATTTACTCTATTAATGTACGTAATATATTTCAAGTACTAGTATGTGTTAGTAATGCTGAAGAATTCATTGTAGTTTCATAGTAAAGTCATTCGTTCTGTCGCTGTTGACAGGCCACAATGAGCTCATGCGACTGCTGATCTACTCTGGCTTTAACCCGCGACAGAAGGACAACTATGGCCAGACTGCGCTGCACCTGGCCTGCATAAATGGTAACCTCACTGCTGTCAGGGAACTGTGTGAGCAGGTGAGTCTCTGAGATAGCACTGTCACCCCACCCCTTTAACACTGCCGGAGAAGCTGTGTGTGCCAACAGGGGAACCAAGCCGGACGGCTGAAGATATGATAGAATAGATACAGATCTTAAAGTGTGATACAGTGGAAAAGAAGAAGAATAGCACTGTCAGTTGTAGAATGTTCATGGTAAAAGTAAAGAAATTGCCCCCCCTCCCCCCATGTAGAACAGGCTTGATCTTGTGCACAGGTCAGGGAATTTGCAGTGTAGAGATGCTGATTGAAGTGTAGAGTGTATGACTCTTTAAGTTTTCCTTCCAATTGTAACTCATTGTGAAGCTTTAGGATTTGAGGTAGTGTCTGTGGGTGGTTGGCTGGTGTTATGGTGTGGTGTGACCCTTCTTTCCCATCAAATATTTCTCCTCCTCATCTCTTGTCCTTCTTTTTCTGTGTATGTTACACTCTAGTAACACTCTTAATCTTCAGCGCTTGTATGACCTGTTTGTGTTGCAAGAGCTGTAACACTCTTACTGAAGCTCAAAAGGCAATGTTTCAGCAATTTTTAATCAATAGCATTCCTTTTGCTTGTTTGTTCTCTATCTTTTTCTCTTGTCTAATAATTTTGAAATTTAAAAAAAATGTTTCATTTTCAATCTGTTCCTCACACAAAAGAACTGCATACTGTGACTTATAATGTTTTTCCCCTAGGACGGTGTGGAAATCGACTTAGCGGACAATAATGGAAAAACTCCCCTGATGCTTGCACTGGGTCGCAAACATGACCCAATTGTGGCATACCTCAAGACAGAAGTGCAGACGAGAAACAGCTTATTGCCCCGTATTGACTGTTGGTCAGTACCCTATGAATGGGGGGGGGGGGGGGGGTTGTTGCTTTTTTTTTTGGTGGAGGGTTCTTCTCTTTTTTTCGTTCTTTACCATCCTTTTCTGTAATTTATTATTCAGAAGATCAAATCTGTGGTGTCTCCAAAGTTCGTTCACATTTGACATCGGATGTAGTCTGTGTGTCTAAATGTCTTTTGCTCTTTATTAGAGGTGAAGCACAGGAGTCTGGGGAGGTGGTGTAGGAGAAGAAGAATAAACGTTTTAGAAATACATTGATTGACTTGATACTAGAGAATAAGAACTGTAAACCAAATTCTAAATTTGAGTGGAGCTCTGTGCAGCCTAGTGTGCAATGGTGAACGCTTTGTGAGGAAACGTAAATAATTGAAATCAGGAAAGTTTTTTTTACCGTGTAAAAGCTACTTTGTGATGGTCAGTAACAGTTTAGGTTATGTTTTGAGTTTTTTTCAAGATCAATACTCCAAACATTTTAGAGTGATCACAGATTTTGTGCATGTCATCTCATGCTCCCTTCATCTGTCCAACTCTAGTTTTGAGTATCTGCTCTCTTTCACTTTCATGTTTTCTCTGTTTTGAGGTCCATCTATGACTTTACTTTTCCTGTCATGTGAATGCTGACACCTAGACATAGTTTCGACTTTCGATCTTTTACTTTTGGTCTTTGCAGAGGCCCAAATGAGGTTTCTGTCTTTTAATGGTTAGGGAAGAATAGAAATAAACAAAAATGGTCTCAAATTTCTAAGTCATATGAGATTTCAGTGCTCAGCTGGCATGTCAGTGTCAGGAAATACATTTTACCCAAGTGTTTATTGATATATTATATATCTGGACATGTTGAAGCATTTGGCCACTGTGATGTTACCCCTGGAAAATAAATGGCTGCGCGTGGAAAGTTTTAAAGTCAGTTTGGCGATTACTTTGGCCTTGAGAAAAGACGACAAGAAAAAAAGTAGCCTTGCGTTTATTCGCCATCAGTGCACCATCTCGTATTCCGTTGAACAGTGGTTTGGAAGTTTAGTGCCAGGACATATGAGATGATATCTTGAGTTGAAGTGGTCTTTGATAGTTTGAAATTAAACCGTTTTTGGCCTCTCCTATGAAATATGTATACTGGATGATGGCACCTCTGTACCAGAAATGATTGCTATGTATGCTGAAGATGGAAAAAAATGTTTCTTTTGTCTTAGGGCCATTATCTTTGGACCACCGGGCAACAGTAAAGGTGCTCTATTATTCTTCCTATTTAATGTGGTGTTCTGGGGATACCCAATGTACATATTCAAGGTGAGGATTTTGACTCTTTTGTACAATTTATCAGTTGAAATGTTTTTAATGAATTTTTGTGTTGCTGCATTCATGTTATTTTAACTATTTGAGTAGGCTCGCATGGTGAAAGATTTGCTGAGATTGTGGTACAGTAATGAATGTGTCACCGCGCGGTGGAATCAGACGCTTGCCAAGTTTTGGTCATATGGAGTTATTGGTATAACTTTAAAGTTTGTTCATTTGTCTTGCTTTTGATGAATAAGAAAATATCTATCTAAATCGAGATATTTGCTATTGAATAAAGGGGGGGGGGGGGGGGTGTCTTCAGTTGTCAGAGGTAAAATTAATTGAAAAAATGGCCTTCAAAGTTTGGTGACTTCCAAAGCTTGAGTGTCATTGGAAACTGCAAATTTCCTTTTTTTTCGTTATTATTTTGATTAACATTTTAATAATATCCACACAGAAATGTTTTTTAAATGGATATATAAGGTGTTGAGCAAAACAAAAAAATCTATGGAAATTGCCCAATGGGCGGAGAAATGTGTTTCTTTGATTCCAATATTTTTACTAGCACCTGATTTCTCCACGAGGGAACACATATTGACGGGGTTATATACTCCAACCACGTAACTGGCTTCTTGAAAACTTTTCTTCACACAAAAGAATACTTTTTACTTTAATTAATGAGAAAAGACACAAAACTTAAGCGACAGTACTTTTGTATTATTTGTAGTGTATATTGACTCATGATTTTTATTGAGGTCTAGCAGGTCGACTTTGACATTGTTTATAGAACAAAAAAATGTTGACCTGTTTTTTTCCTTTAGCATAGTCAGATATACTTTGTAATTCTGTCTTTCTCTGCAATTTTCATTCACTTTTAGTATTGGTATCTATTTAAGACTTTCCTGTTACATCATGGTTTTCTGATTGAAAGGTTGTGGGTAGGTGAAGGGTACTACTGTTAGGCCCTATTTCTTTTCTTTCCATCTGTTCTTCCTGTCTGTCTTTCTTGTTTTTTCCCATAACTAAATGACCATTATATCGAGGATTTGCTTCTGTTTACTAAACCCAACAAAACAAAGTATGGAGCTACCTGTTTATTTTGGGCAATTAGCGTAATTTCAACCAGATTTTGATTTTTTTAGTTGCTTTTCATGTAGTTTCATTTTTATGCAACATTTTTTACTTGACTGTATTGTAATAGTTGTGCCTCTCTATGTTCCCAGTGCTTGCCGGTGACGTGGTACGACCTGCAGATATTTCACATCTTGTTTATGTTCATCAACGTGGCCATGTGGGTGTGCCTGTACCATGCCAACACCATCGACCCTGGGTACTTGCCAAGGAATATTCCGGAGTATGATTTAGCCATCAAACAGGTAGGCCCATGAAAGATTATTTTGTACAAACGGTTTTGAGTTGTTTGTGACTGTGGGTGTATGGAGAACACCACTGGTGTAGGTTCTACGTCCTTTCTTTTTCTTTGTTGTTTTTGTCTGTCTTTCTTTTTCTTTGTTGTTTCTGTCTGTCTTTCTTTCTTTTCCACTGTACTAATTAGCTGTTATTGTGTTGAAGTACTTCTCTTTACTGAAATAAACAAATTAATTTTTTTTGGGTCTTACAATGTCTATGGTACTCTTGGAAGAAGGAAGCACTTCTCAGATATTTCAGGTGTTTGAATACCTTGTACATTCTTAGCTTTTAAAAATGTTTTGCATCCAGTTAGTGTCCCTCGTTTATTGATGGCTGCCATGATGTGATCTGCCTCTTTTTCTTGTTCTTTGTTATTTTTATCATTATCTACATCTACATGTTGCTAATGTCACAATAACTCGACATTATTACTTGTCATGTCCCTTTGTTATTCTTGAAATATTTCCCTTTGCTTTGCCTATTTAGTTCGTTTACATTGTTTAGGTTGTTATATTTGACCCATAATTAATCATTTTGAAAGTTAAGCATGTGGCTCTCTTTCATTGGGGCAAATTTCTGAAAGGAAGAGGAAAATAGAAAAATGTATTGTTCAATCTTTAACTTCTTGTTTATTCGTTGTTCAGGAATTCGTTTCTGCATAAAAATGTTCTTCATCCATTTCATTGTCTGCTGTATATATATGATAATGCATTTTTGTCTTGTTGCTCATGGTCTTTATATTTTCTGTAGTACAGCAGTAATCCAGACCTTACCTTGTTTTTTAATTGTCTTTTTTGTGTTGTTTTTAGTTGAAATGGAATTTGATTTTAGGGAAATGTGATGGATGAAATATTGAAAGGAGCGCTCCCCTGGGAGGTCCCAGTTCTTTCCTGTCCTTGTCTTTTTTTTTTTTTTTTTCGTTTGTCTGCATTGTGCACAAAATGACCATTAATTGTGTTGAAACCAACAAAAAAATAAGATTCTGATGCCAACTGAGGACCAGTATGCTGTTTGCATTCAGCACCAAATGCAATAACTGTCTGTTGTCTCTCACTTCCAGGTAGCACATTTTGATGAGTGGAAACAAGGCCAGAACCCGTTATCTCGGCTCTGTCACACATGTCGCACGGTGAAGCCGCTGCGGGCCAAACACTGTCGTGTGTGCAATCGCTGCGTCAAGGAGTTTGACCACCACTGCCCGTACATTCACAACTGTGTCGGCTACTATAACAGGTAGGCTCTTAACTCACTTTTTCGAATCCTGCGTTCCCGAAACATCTGCGAAAGTTCTTTCCTTCCCTCCTTCCTGAGCTTTAGTTGTTAACCTTTTGGGTTTTTTTAACCTCCCATGTCATTAAATAAAAGGGTATTTGTTGATTTTCTTGGATAGATTTCCACAGATTTAGGTGTTGTTTGTCAGATATACAGGGTTAAAGGACAGGCTGTTGTAAGAGATATTGTTTTAATCTTTTTAAACAATCCTAATGTCATTATCATGTTTCTCTGTTAGTGACTCTTTTGGTCAAAGTCACTGTTGTAATTTTTGAAAGTGGGAGTAACTGTAAATGAACGGAGACTGATTTGGAGAGTGGGAGCTGCTGTTGTGTGAAGTTGAAATATTATTGGAAATTGTGGTGCATTTGATGAGGATCTGTTAGTTTTTATTTGCGTTCTTGGGTGGTTTTGTCTCTTACATTGTGAGGATAAATTGTGGGCCTGAAGAATCTGGGTGGGGTGGCTTGTGTTTACTTCTTGATTAAAAGAGTTTTTTTGGGTGAAACATTTTATGAATGCTGATGTTAGTCTTTCTATGTCGTCCGTCCTTTTTTTTCTGTTTTACCCTATCTTCATTATCTCCCTTAGATGTTCCCCTCTCTTGTCTTTACAATTTACCTCCCAAAATGTCTGTCTTTTGAATGTACTGGTTACCTAAATTTCAGCATATTTCTTTTCGGGGGCATGCAGTGGTGAAGGTGCATGAAAGCTTAATTATGTGTTTAGTAAAGGAAAGATTTCAGCTCATTACTGGGGGTCATACAGTGGTGAAGGTGCATGTGTTAGTGGTAACAATATCATGATTATATCTTTCGTCTGAGCATCATTGTAAAGGAAAGATGTATTTGATGTAATATATTTGTGGTGATCACAACAATTGGACCATTCGATGAAAAATCAAACTGCAGTGACACTTGGATGCGGAGATGATGAGCAGCTGAAAAAATTCTTATCAGTGATAGAGCCATTCTTTAATCGTTCTTTCATCTTTTTTTTTGTTTTTTGTTACAGGCAACCTTCCTCAAATAAATTTTTTTAGAGGCTTTATTATTATTTAAACATTTTTCAGCTGGTCAATGTCTGCAGTTTCATTTTTCATGGAATGGCCACATTGTCTTGCTGACTAACAGTAAAGTCACCTTATTCTTGTTCAGACTATAGAGAAATAATTTCTATGGCGTAGCTGTCTATTTTATTAGTTCTGTATGGAAAAATGTTATTTATTATGTGTCATCTTCATTGTAGGAATAATTGTCAAAAGTCATAATGCTTTTGTTTTATAGCACTGTTAATGTAACTGCTGTCTTAATAAGGAATGTTGTCAGAAGACAGTAACTTTCATTTGTGTTCAGTTGTTTTATACAGATTTAGAAATTTATCATATGCATTTATGCTTCCTTTTTTTGCTGTACTTCAATGCCTTTGTGAGTGGGAATCAATGTGTAAATACTTTAATGGGAAACTGAAAGGGCCACTCACATCAGAATCGGTTTACTTACTTTGACTGGCTTTCCATGCATGTGGAACAATGTAAAAAAACTGTTACACCTCAAAATTATATTATCAATTGTTGTTGCAAAGTCTTAGCATTTGGCATGACACTAGTTCAGCATGATACTCGTTGGGTTCCTCTTAGACTGAAAAGATTGTATGATACGTCTGTCAGACTTGGATACTCAACTGTTTTGTAATGCTTCTTTGTGTTGAGCGGTTGTGTTGCTTTCTTAGTTTGTGAATAACAGCATGTTTTTGGCTGGGTGTTACATTGGATTGGTCTTTTTGCTTTGCTGCTTTCATCAGCTTGTCTGCGGTTGTCACTGTTAAGGTTTGCTGGTTGTCTCTTCTCTTTGTGTTTTGTGGACAGTGCTTGTGAATTCCCACTCGCATATTGTCTTTTTATCGATCTTATTGGGTGGGGTAGCTTATTTTCTCAATAGATCCACACTTCTTAATGTAGGGAGATTGGCCTTAAGTGTAAGTACATAGTCAGCACTTAACTGCATGCACAAATTCTCTATGCTTTATCATAAATTATGCCCTATTTATCAAATTAAAGGGTTTGGTGAAGAAAAATAGTTCTATTATGATTTTGTGGAGGAAGTGTCATATTGTAAGCCATTTAGTTTTTGCTTCTGATTTGTGATTCCTCCTAAAGAGTGTTGAATAAAGAGTGATTTCTTTCTACCTTTCCTTAATTAACTTACTCAGTGCCCATTAATATGTATTGTTCCAATGCAGTAAGAATTTTTATCTCTTTGAGGTGAAGTCAACTGTTCTGTCTCTGAGGTTCTGAAGTTTTACCAAAAAAGCAAATGTGTCATGACTCTATATTTTGGGGATCTCATCAATTTTAAGTATGGGCATATGAAGTTATGGCAGCATCTTAAAGCTTATTCATTCATCTTGTTTTGATAACTGATTTTAAAAAATTACCTGTCTGTCTTGAATAGAAGTTGAGATATTTGCGATTGTTGAATAATATTGGGGTCGTCTGGTGTCAGATGTAAAATTAGCAAGGAAATGACTTCCAAAGCTAAAGTGTCCTTGGAATTTGATCAATGTCAATGTTTTCATTAAAATCCACACAAGATGTGTTTTTAAATGGACATTAGAAGTGTTGAGCAAAATTGTTTAAATTCAATAGATTTGCCTAAAGGTCAGAAAATGTCGATTCTTAGATTTCGTCATTTTGACGATAGCTGAATTTCACCATGATAAACCGCACATTACCTTTATGTTCGAAAATAAAAGTTTTGGTATTGTGACTGAATTGTCAGTGACTCTGATCAGCACATTTTTTTTTTTTTGCAGTACAAATGCTTGTCTTTGTCTCGTTTTGGTCTGGTGAAAGATGCATGATCTACACATAGTTCCTGTAGTTAGCAAAGAGACAGCTTTCACGCTCTATGTTCCATATATCTGTCTGTGCCCAAGCTTTCTGCCTGTGATATGTCAGTTTTAGGTCCTGTTATATTGTTCATAAGTTCTTCAATTAGATAATCCCCCCTCCCTCCTTTCCCTTTTCACTCTGTGTCTGATTTTATGCTTTTAATTCTGCCATATATTTGGATGAGCGTCATTGCATCAGTGCTCTTGACCTTTTGTTTACATTTCCTGTGTTTCCCTTCTCGTTGGTGCTTTGTGCATGTAGGTCCCCTCCCAACTACAACTTTTGTTTTGGACGTTAACTTTTTCATAAATGTTATCTTTCTTACTCCAGAGGGGGTTTTTTCTTAATCATTTCTTATGCTTTGAATTATGCCTAGCAATCTATCTAAAGCATGAGCTTTTCACAGCCGCATTTCTATAACAATATTATATCCAGCTACCTGCCACTCTAGTCTGCTCTTACATTTCTTCTCTACTCTATGCTATTATACACTGGTTTGGTAATATGGGAATGATGTCTATTTTGTTGCGGATAGTCTCTTCGCCAATTCTTGCATCAGACTCAAGTTTAATACCCATGTGCGGAGAATTTCTAGAGTACACATCTCAGTATATTTGGTGGTGTGTTTTATCCCTTTCAGCCCAGGTTGGCCCTGATGGGCAGGGTCGAAAATTGCCTCTAAAATGATTTAAGTTGTGTTGATTAGAGTGTCAAAACACCTACATTTAAAAAAATGGTATCCGCTTGTTCGCCATGCACCAAATACCCGCTGCTTGCTCACTGTAGTCATATCTGTCACTGTGACTACTGAGAGATGAGAAGGTAATGTGTAAGTAATGGCCGAGTTTTGCAAACTGTACTCCAGACAGATTGGCACTGCACAGAGAAGTCCGACCACATAATAAAATATTATATATGACTGGCAGCTTTTGCGATGGTGCTCATTGTGCTTACTATATCGTACTGGCAGTAAACAAGATTGTTTTTGGGTCCCCCCAATTTTTTTTTTAAACCAGCGTAACTGTAACTAAGGAAATTTTGGAGTTACCACAAATATATAATAATTCCAACAGTAATTACATATCTTTTGGACCATGAATAAGTTAAGTAAACCATGTTGTTTTAATTTTCTTGGCCTATGTGCTGCAAGCAGGTTCAGTCTGTGTGCTCTGATAAAGCAAAAAATGTTTTTAGAAACATTTTCAATTCGAAATCCTAATAGAAAAGAATTGTTGGTTACCAGAGAGTTAGCTCTTTAGTTCATGTTTATTTAGATGATGTGGAGGATCGATTTTAGTACATTCACTTGGTTAAACTTTTATTTGGGGTTCATACAGAATTATTTTTATTTGTCTCAAAGTGCAGATCTGTGTGATGCTAGAGGAATCAGACCCATGCGATCTCTATGAGTTATTTGACGCCTCATGCAAAGCTAAAGAGACACTGTGAAATTTCATAAAATAGAAAGGGGTTGATTGTAAAACAACACACTCCCTGTCCCTGGTTTATGACAAGAGTAGGTCGTTGTCAGTGTCTAATGATAATCAATGCATGTGTAGCGGACAATGTCTCTTAATTAAGGAAAATGAAATAAATAAGAATGAAGATATTTTGTGTGGCTTCTGCTATGGCCAGTGAGGGAAACTCTGTCAGAGAAGAGGGGCCACATTTTGAGCATTTTAAAACTTAATTTCCACTTGTGGATGTGTTCGGTTTGCGGGCATTACTCTTGGTTTCAGCTTTTTTAATTAGTAAAGTCTCATATGATTTACAACTTGGTCCGTCAGGAGCTAGGCTCTCCCAAGTTTATGATGAGAAAATAAACATTCATTCTTAGAATTTCCAAAATATGAGCTTCATAGCTCTAAAATAACGATATAGTTTTTCTGTGATGCACTCTTTTCTTTGTTTGAAATAGTGCATGCATATTTCCCTTAATGAGACCTACGTAATGGAAGATTGAAAAAGAATGGGTATTTTTGTAAGGATGACTGAAAGTTGTAAAGATGTTGGATGCTTTTACTTTTTGCAGTGATATGAACCGTAACAGTTCGTGGGGGAATCTGGGACTTTGGTTTTGATGTTACGGTCAAGTTGGTTTGGCTGAACAAAAACATATTCACCCTTTTTTTCACAATGAAATTTCAGCTGAGTTTCTACTTTCCCTTTCTGTATTTGGCAACATATTGTAGTAGAACTCGGCACTTGTATGACGTGCCCTATGCAGAGACTTTGAGTTTCCTCATTTCCTCCCTCCCCCCACCCTCATCCCCCTCTCAGGGTCTGGTTTGTGGCCTTTCTGGGCTGCCTTACCGTGCTGGTGAGCTTGTCCGACTTCTTCTGTTACTATATCATGAACTACGTCTACTGGGACTGGCTGATGATAATCGGTGCTGTGGAGCTGTGCATCTTTTCTGTGGTCATTGGCGTGGTGGCCACTATGTCGGTAAGACACTGCCGAAAGCAGCTCTCAGTAGTTGTCACTGCAACAGCTTGAGCTTCGCTGAGGGAAAATGTTTTTGGCTTTTGAAGTTGATTATTAAAGTTTTCAACATTGATTTAATATTAGATAAAGGCTTCTATAGACATATTATTTTGACTTGTTTTTCATTGTATATTCCTTTTAAAAAAAAGAAAGAAAAATTGTGCAATGAGAAGTTATCCCAGGGCTTTCTTCGTTTTCCTTAAGGTAAGGTTGTTGTTTTAAAAAAATTCTACAAACCCTCTTAAACAACGCCGATGTCTTTGGATGGAGTTACTCACAGGCCAGGTAAACTTTTTTGTCCACTCATGCCATTTTATTAAGTTCAACGCAACGAGAGTCAAAGTCTGTATGTCCAGGGGTAGATGACGTTTAACCTCCCAATCCAACCTACTTCATAATTATATTTGTCATTATAAACTGAGCGAAGATTATTGGTGAATTAATTAGTGCTGGAAAAAACAGTTGTTTTGGGTTGCAAGAATTTTGTTTAGTCAACCCAGTGACATGTGCAGGTAAGTTTCTTTTTTGTTTTAGCCATTTTTTGTCTTCTCAAGCCTTTGTCTTGTTCTTTTTCTTCATTCGCTTTTCTTTTGGACATCCAGTGTCAAGGTACATTTCCTTGTTGAAGCGGAATTTTGTTCCTCTCAAAGCTTTCTTGTTGGGCTTAGTGGTTGTTCACTTCTCAATTCCATTTCTGAAAAAAGTGCTTTTGACACAAGTGGAATCGCCGAATGTTTCTCTTGGATGTTTTTCCCTAGCTTACACTCTCCCTGTGGTTGTCGGACACAATCGCAATGAAATGTGTGGCTGGGATTCGTAGCAATGGCCATATTATGGCCTCATATATTTGTTATTTTCTTCAGAAGATCTTTTACTCTTTTGGAGTTGGTTGCGTTTCGTTGTTTAAACTGATACTTCTGAAGTGTGAGCTGAATTTTTTTTTCTTTTTTCTCAAAGCATAGCAGCTTTTTTTTTGTTCTTCTTTAAAATTTTGATATACTAGATGTTTGTGGTATATTCAGCAGTGGTGTTTCTTGTGTTGCTTTTGGTTACTTTTTTGTTTTAGGAAAGGTTTTGGTTGGAAGATTTTACGATCAGATGCTGCTCATGAAGTTTTGTAGCGAATGTGCGGAGGAGAAGAACGACTGTTTTAACTTTTTTTTTCTATTTCTTTGATTTCTTTGTAGACTTTCAGTAGATGTGAGTGTTTGTGTGCGGTGCTATCCTAATGACCTATTCGTTGTTTTGGAATTCATGATTGCTAAGTTGGTGTTTGTATCATGCATTTTCAGTTGAGTCAAAAACCCTGTGAGATATCATGCTGAACTCGGATATTTGAAATGGGGATCATGTTTCTAGAAATGCGAGGCTCTTTCGAATTGAGACAGCGTCTGTCCATATTGTGAAAGAGAATGGGGGGGGGGGGGGGGGGGGAGCAAAGATGTGAGCGGTCAGATTCATGTCTGTCTGTCTGTCTGTTTGCCTCCACCCCCTCTCTCTCTCTCTCTCTCTCTCTCTCTCTCTCTCTCTCTCTCTCTCTCTCTCTCTCTCTCTCTCTCTTTCTCTCTCTCTCTCTCTCTTTCTCTTTCTCTCTCTCTCTCTGTCCCCCCTTTTTTCTACCCCTCTTTCTCCCTTCCTGTCTCTCTCCCTCTCCCTCTGTACCTCTATGCATTGAAAGCTTGGTTGAAAAGGGCACGACAAAGACATTACATAATATCGGAGTCTCCTGTGGTACTGTTGACACATGCTGGATGTTGCAGAGTCTCGTTCTGTGGTGTCTGTGTGTGCATGAGTCTGATGGGCATACAGACCCTGCACTTTTCCCGAGCTGTGCTCTCGGCTGAGGGCTTGTCATGGTACCAAGTGGACTACTTGTTGGCTTTGCTGTTGACAGTTGTCTTCTCTGTCATTGCCATATTATTGGCCCAATCCACCGTGAGTAAACCCAAATACTGTATTGATAAAATGCAGGCTGTTTCAGTTATTTTCAAAGGTTAAAGTTGAGTTAGTCACTGATAAGTCGTACTTTTTTCTTTCTCTTTGTTGTTTTTCTCCACCTTACTGTTTCTTTGCGCTTAATAATTGTTATTGTGCCAATGAACTTCTCTGTACTCAAACAAAGGAACAACGATAAAAGTAAATATGTGTTTGTGATAGTTGACTGTTTTCAGCAACGGGGTGTAGCTCTTCTTAGTATTGAAGTTCAAGATCTTTAGTCATAGATATTGTGTACTGGTAGGTTGGTGGGTGCCCTCTCTACTGCATCATTTTAAACTGTATTGTCCATTTCTTGTGACATGTAACAAGTACAATGCAAACCACTGTCAATATTGTTCAAGATGGCCTCCATTTGTCGAGAAAAGTGGTTGTCAGAGACAGTGTCAATATGATAACAAAAAGGGAGAAATTGGAAGTGTTTTTTTGTATAGGTGATTGTCTTGTACTGGTAGCCTGTAGAGCTGCTTTGACTGTATCTTTTAACTGCAACTCAAGAACTGCTACAGCACAGGTAAAGTAATTGGTGTAATTGTTAGACTCTTTGAAATCGCACATAGATGACATGAGTTGGATTCCCCATGTGGAATATCTCCATCTGTTTGCAGGGATGTAGTATCCCATTCAGCGAGTGTTGACCCTGACAGCTCAGCCACTAAGTGATGTTAATCATTTAACCTTCTCAATAAAGGAAATAGTCAGATATAGTAACCAGAGTTTAAACATTCCATTGCCGATACCTGTTGGTCTATCACATTTTGTCAATGCGGATGAGTAAACTATTTCTGTGTTCGGTCAGTCTTTTAAGCAGAGCCTATACAAAATACAGCAAGTAGTTTCCACACGAACTCATTGATACTTTGGAGGCTCTTATTCTCTGGTTGAGGTAAGGCAAGAATTCTACTGGTCTGGAGCTAAACATTGGCCAGGCTCTTACTAGAAGGGGCTTCAATCACAGAATGCCTGCTGGTTTCTCTTTGCTCAGTGTGACTTTGCTGTGATCCACTTTCTGTTTTCTGGTACTTGTGTCCATGTCAGTGTCTATTTTCATGTGATATTTCTCCCTGTCCTCTTCCCATTCTATTCCTTTTAGCCCTTCTTGTCTTTCAGTCTAGTTCCAAAATTCATTGTTCTTACCTTGCTTGTAGATCACTCTCTAAAATTAAAGTCGAACCTGTGTAAGACGGAATCACAAGGGAGCCAGAAAAAAATTCTGTCTTCGGCAGGGGAATTTAGGTGGGGGAGATGGAGGGGGGTTTCAAAGGCCGGTCAAGGATCGCTTATCCAGTCGGCAAGCAGTGGTCAAAACTTCACACTTTAACTGCTATCCTCTCTGATAATGACATGCATCAGTCGTATTTATCCAATTACCACCAGTGCTTCCATTTAATTGGATCACTGTTTGACCTATTAAAAACAGAAACATTTGAACATATCCTTTGCTTCCACCCTTAGCTCCACTGCAAGCACAGTCAACCAATGCCACCCCTCACTGCCATGTACAACAATTCAAGGAACTCTTTTCTCGGCTGGCCGTACGATCAGGGTGGCAGACATTGGTCAAACTTATTTCACACCTCTGACTTCTGGTTACCCTCTGTCCCAGGAAAGTTTCTGTAGTGGCTCGCTACTCGAGCAGTTTCACTGGCACTCGTGACATTTCACACCCACACCACCCTGACCATTTGCATTGCTCAGGGCTCACATCGAATCATAGATGGGGTAACATCTACCCTCAAATTGCTTCCCTACTCCCTTTCCGCACCCAGTGGCTTGGCGCTAAGAGCCGGCAGAATCAAACTTGCGAGTTTTGTTTCCAATCAGGGCTGTAATGTCAGCAAAGCATTTTCGTCTTAGACAGGTAAAACCCTCGGAAAGTAGCGAATTTTTCTTTCCGTTTCCACTTTGGACTGGTTTCCATTTTATACTGGTATTTAAAGAGGAATTTATCAAGAGGGGAGCGGGGAGATTCCTTTAAGACAGGTTTCTGTTAAGGCAGGTTCGGCTGTATCTTATTCTTGTTTTTGTACTTTTTGATTGTAGACAGGCGTCTGTGGTGTAGTGGTTAAGCATTTTGCTGTTGCATGCGTAAAACATTAATTTGATTCCCATGTGGGGAGAATTTTTATTGAGTGTCTCCATCTTTTTTTTGCTGGGACATTATATTCCTGACTTGCACAGTTGAAGCTCTCTCCCTGAATGATCTAAACTATGTCAGTGGGGGCATAAAAACACTTGCTGACATTTTATTAAAATAACGCACCATCAAGGACTTTTCTTTTCTCTTGATCTTATGAAGGTAAGTCTGTCGTAAGCTGTTTTTATCTTAAGATGGTAAGTTTGTCGTAAGCTGTTTTTATCTTAAGATGGTAAGTCTGCCGTAAGCTGTTTTTGTCTTATGAAGGTAAGTCTGTCATAAGCTGTTTTCAGTAAGGGATGTTTCAGGCCAGAAACAAAAAAAGCTTTGGATCTAGTAAAAGAATAATGTCTGTCCTTGGAAGTTTGCTACTGCAGTACAATGTTACATCTGATTGCTAGTGCTTGAATGTGTATCTGTTTCAAGGGTTAAGCCTACTGGAAGGTAGGGCCTTATTCATTCTCTAGCCTAGAGACCTCCATGTTTTGCTGTACAAATGTTGTTTTTTCCCCTCTGGAAGCCATTCTCAATTGTATGGAAAAGTGGTAAGCTTAATTTTTTTTTTTTAGTTTACCAAGTAATTACAATTACAAGTATGGAAAGCAGATAAGCTTATTTATTTAAAATGTGTCCCTCTTAGTTGCTACCAAGTAGTGTATGGAAAGGCTGATAAGTATAATTTGAAAAAAAATGTTCACCTGTTAGTTACCACCATGCAGTATATGGAAACACTAGTAAGCATACTTTTGAAAAATTGCTTCCCTTCAAGTTACTACCCAAAAGTAAGTTTTTCTTAAATTCTGTAGTACTAATATGCATTGTCTGAATTGAGTTTTAAAAATGAAAATGCTTTGTGTATTCCTGAGAGAATTTTATATTTTCCTACCTTAGGGTTATATTTATATTGTCACAGTTACAGGTACCTTCAAAACTGAAAAGACAGTGACTTATTTGTTGCAGTTAGATTAGTTTCAGTGGGATCTGGCTGGTGGGTTTGAACGTCTTAGCATAACTGTGATAATGGCCTACATTACTTGTATTGTAAGGGCTGGAAGGTTGGCAGACGAACTGACATGTATTATGTACACATGAAAAAATATACAGTTTGCCCACACTCAAAGATGTAAATGTGCTTATGAATAAGGAACAAATTTTTGTTTTGGTAGGAGTTACGTTGAGCTGCTTTTTGTCTTAGGGCTTCTTCTATCTCTGTAAATGGTTTAATTTGTAGATCATTATATTTTTACCTTTCTAGTACAATTTGAGAGCATATTTATATCATACTGGTTCTAGTTTTTACACATTTACTACTCATTACATGTGGCTTGGAATGAAAAGATGTCCTCGCAAAGCAATACTGGTTTGTTGTTTATTTAAACCTGTTTTCACCATTTTGCTCCCTAGATAAGTCATGCTGCCCAGAACATTACTACTAATGAAAGGATCAACAAGAAGCGCTACGCCTACCTCAAGGACGGCAAGGGAGCTTTCTATAATCCCTTTGACAGGGGAGCAGTGCCAAATCTTATGGAGTTTTTGCACCTGAAACGTGCAGTTAGAGAGGACGAAGTTCATTTGTTAGGTGTGCATGTTGTGTGAAAATGGATGAATGGTACTGTATCTGCTAGTCTTCATCATAGAGATGTGCTCATATGTTGATATACATGTGTGGTGTCCGATTCATTCTTTTTGTAAAGGTAATTGTCATTATGAATGGAAAGTGTTGCTGGAGATGGTAGGTAAAATTAGTGAAGGGGAGGGGGGGTTGGGTGTTTACAATTTGTGTGTGTGTGTGTGTGTGTGAATGTTCTATTTTTTTAATAGCACAATTGCAATGAATGACTTTCTTGGTTGTTGAGTTACTTTTCCCCTCTACACAAGTTGCAGAAATGGATGTTCCTGAGTTTTTGTATTGCATTTTCACGGAACATCGATCTCAGTGGGATTGCTGACCCAGTATTATAGTATCCAGTGACCTCATTAACTTTTTCTAATACCCTATTGAGAACCTGTTGAGGAATTTGTTGCATTTTTAACAACTTTCTGTAGACCTGACTGAGTTTTAAAAACGTACAGTTCTTTGGCATATGCATGGCTTCAACACTTGAGATGTTTGTTTCCTGTTGTGTGCGAGGTGTCATAGAATGTGAAAGTTTTTCTGGTAAAAATTACTCTTCAGTGAGTTACAGAAGTCCAATATTAAGTTCCATCTGAGACCCAGACAAGATACCAAATGACTGGTCACAGTTGGTCTTAGATTTTCCACTTTTATGAATACGTTGTTTTTTTCCCAATAATGTTACGGCAAAGTAAGATTTTTTTTCACTGTTATATTTAGTGTGAACAGATGTCTGCTGAGGAAGTTTTGATATTATTACTGTGCTTTTCTATGGCCTGTGATGTGTTTGTGAGAACTTGTTGGTCGAGTACTGTCGTTAATGTCTTCTGTCAAGTTACAAGTATCTTCAAGATCTAGAGACCATAAAAGCTATATTTTATTTAATAAAAATATGAATCCGTCAGCGAACATGAGTGACTGTAATATGGTATTGTTTCGGCTTTGATGTATGAAAGGTGATGCGGCAGTGTGCTGAAATCTGAGGACTCGGCGTCAAGTTTCAGCTATTGTTGAGATAAATGGCTACCGTGTGGTATGAAGTAGACCAAGACTGCAGTTAATATTGTGCCAAGTCTATATGTGTACGATTTGTACATAAGTTAATGCGAATGTCTCATTGCTCTTGACTTGAAAGTCATCAGTGAAGTTCTAGAATCTTGGCGTCCACTTTTTGCATGGTTTTTATTTCTCTCCACCATCCTACCGCTTTCTCCTGTTTTGTCTGTACACATAGCCTTTTTTTCTGCTGTGGCAGCTTTTGGAAGTACATTTTATATCCTATACCCTCAACTTTTATGTTAACTACTATTGAGGCTCATCGAACATATTTTGAGTCTATTTATTCATCTGTTAACTTTCAGAATTTTATTTGCAAAGTTCAATTGCTTTTCCAGTTTGTTAGTGAAAAAGAGTATTATTTTCATTCCTGTTATTGCATTGTAGTGTTTGTTGTTGTGTTTGTGCCAATGTATATGTGCTTTTCGGGGGGGGGGGGTTGTTGTTTAGAAATCTCTTGCTGTTAAGAACAAAAGAAAAACAAAACAGTCCAACTGCAAAATAAAATATTGTGTTTATTAGTTTCCTGCATATTTTGTTGACACTCTCTCTTAATATTGTTACTGTTATAAGGGAAGAATTCTCTGGATTTCTCTTGCTGTAAAGAGTGAAAGAGAAAAAAACCCAGTCCAATAGTGCAGGAAACGATGTTAAATGTGTTAATGATGTCCTACATGCTTTGTTTATCTAACTCTGAGGACATTTTAGTGATAGTTCAAAAGTTTGTTTCATTGTTTTTAAGCTATGTTGTTGGACCATAGAATCTTACCTCAGTTTGTGCTCATTCGCTCCATACCTTTGTCTCTTTTGATGTGGAGGTTAAGTGAAGTCTTTAGCTCAAAGCATGTGTGTCTGTCAGATTCTGTTTTGTCCTTATGCTCAAGTCTCCCCTCATACATGCATGCCTGCTATCTTGAGAGAGCAGTTCTTTTGTCAGAACACACCGCTGTCAATTTATTGATCATTCATTGTTCTAGCTGACACTTCATCAGATATTCTCGAGCTCAAATCAAAATCTCCTAACCTGGCCAGACCGGCCCCCCTGACCCTAGCTTAACTCTATACCTGATGAAGCGTTGAGAGCAAGAGCTCCGAGTTACTGGTTGACTGGGAATCCTTCATAGGTGTTGGGTAGTGCAATCCCAGTGTAGCGGGAATACGGTCCTGGGGGTTACAGTTTTATTGCTCGTTGGAGAAATGAACTTTATATGACAGGTTGCAATTTGAGAGAGTGAGATGTAGATGTATTCAGCTCCAGATATTGTCACTTATCTGTGAAACAATTCATGCTGGTGTTATGTGTGGTACTGTTAGATGCTGGGTTTTTTTCATAGAGGAAAATGCTGAATAAGAATGAGAAATGTATTGTTTAAAGGTGTGATTTCCTTCTCCATGAATAGGTTCAAGCTTTACTTGGGACAGCTACTGTAATGACAGCCTGTTACTTTTTAATTATTAATGGCAGGCAGGGGCAAAGGTATCCAAGTCCAGGGCTGGATTAAGCGATTCTGAATATCTCGTGGGCCAAAGCAGGAGAAAACTGGGTAAAAATTGGTTGAAATACCCAAACTCTCAAAAGTCAAGACCAAAACTGACACTATAGTATAGTACATGCCCCTCAAGGATATTAATTTTAGTGTTAGTCCATTGTGAGAATCTCCATAACACAGAACCTTACTCCAAAGGTAAACAAACTAGTTGCCAAGGGAAAATGACAAATTGGCATAAGAAAGAAAACTGTCTTGCTTTTATTTGTTATTATTTTACCCTTTGTCTGCTTTAATTCATATCATTGTTTTTTTTTTAAAGTTTTAGTTTTCCACGGCTCACTGTGTGTTTATCCAGTTTGGTGTGCAACTTTAAGTGTAATTTGAGTTTGTCCTCCTGAAAGATAGGGTTTTGATTTGACACTCCCCTGTTATAGAGGGTGAAGGATTGATTCAATTTGGGACAATGCAACACTCTGCAATGGAAATGTGCTCAGCTATTTTGAGCTGAAGATAAAAGTATCAATGTGTTGACATTTGAGTTTTGTCAAGAGCAACTGAGCATTTAATTGTCTGTTACCAGGTTGTCGAATGTATAGTAAAGTCGGCTTATCAAGTCATTTCTCTTTTTAGATTAAAGAAATGTAGGCCTATGTTTGGCTAATTGTACTTGTAGCCTTTTTGTAAAGTGCTTGAGTTTGTTCTTTATTGCGGGTTGAGTGCTACAGAAATGTCGTATTTTAACAATTGTATTTGGAATTCTTGGGGAGTAAAGAACAAGTAAATGTTTGTGCCCCTCAAGTTTTCTGGGGAGAAGTGTTTCTAACCCAAATCAGCTGTTGACGTATGGTTGTGTTTGTGTGTGCCTTGGGAGAATTGATCACATCCTCTTTGCAAATTATAATGGCGGTCTGCTGTTCTAAACCCAGAAAGCAAAATTTTACAGAAGAGAGGGAAAATTATTTCATTTTTTTTTTAATGTACCCTAGTTCTGCATCTGCTCTTGCTTTTTTCACAACATTAAGATTTTGAATTTCAACCTAATATTTCTTGAGCACTGGCAACCAAAACCACAGATTAAGGAACTACACTTTAAAAATGTTTCTAAATTTTTAAGCGAAGTACATCTGAACAGCTGTCTAACAGTGTGTATGCTGTAGAAATGTTGTGGCAGTCTTATCAGAGATGTGTATATGTGTTCGAATGTTTCAGAGAGGGTGGTAAAGTCTTCCTGGGAATTGTTTTCTTGTCAGACGGGAACAAAATGTCTTTTTACATTCATTTTCATTGAAAATGGAAATAGTTTATGTGTATTGGGATGTTGACACAAGACTATCTTGAGACATGCTCTGATGCTGACATATGACACGTGCTTAGTGAGAGTATGATATGGACGAGAACATTGGAAGATTGATGTGTTTGCCTGCGTCAGTACATTTGCTTTCTGTTTGCTTTCTACTTGGAATTTCTTTGTTATCTCTAGTTATGTGGTATGCCTGCATTGTATGATGTCGCTCTGCTTAATTGTAAAACCTGCGCCTTAACCGCTGCACTGGTGTCTGTGGTTTAGCATTCTGGTGGTTTGCTGTTGCTATTCCCGAGGTGGAGGAATTTTTATCAAGTATCTCGGTCTTTTTGCTGGGATGTTGTATCCCCCCCTCAGCGCGGGTTGGTCCTGGTCAGAAGTGTGCCTCCTGAATGATTTGGATGGAGGCTTAAAAAACACTTACATTTAAAAACAGAAATTTAGCCACTGCCTTCTTGAAGCTTAAAATGTTGATCAGACTTTCTTTATTTATGAACTTTGACATTTATTTCATATGTTAAGGTCAAAGCAACAGCTCCATTATTGGGTACCAGAACTACAATGATACAATGTCATTAAGATGAATGATTTTGCTGCTGCTGCCAAATATTCCTGATCAAGCATGCATGTTTTCAAGTGCTTTGTACATATTTCTGAGTCGAATTGGGCAGTGAAGCTGCTAGCGTTTTGGTAGAGGCCCATTGTGTCATCTTGTCTGTGACAGTCATGACTTGTGATGTAACTATAATAGCCACAGATTCCAGTGACTTTGGTACAACTACTCTTGAGCGTTACTTTTGCTTTGGTATGTCTCTTGCGTCTTATCTATTGTTTCGAAGCATACCATATATATTTATTTTTCTTCTGTACATTATTCCTCTATTTATATCAAATCATACCTCTCTTTGGGTTGTTATTTCATTTCACATTTGCTGACAAAAGGGAGTATTTTGTTTTAACAAGATTGCTATTAACGTGTTGTTGATGAAATGTAACACCTGCTCAGTTTGTCAGTTTGTGTTTTGGAATCTGAGCCCTGTGACAGATAAATTTTATAATTATATGTAGCCTATATGGTTGATATCTTAATGGAAACATCTTCACAGCTTTGTCTTCTTATTCGAGACCCCATAGTTTCGCAATCATCAAGTTCGAATATTATATATTAAGTTTCTCATGCACTAAAGACTGAACTTTGTTCAAGCGAGAGCTGTTTTATATATAGCTTATTCTTTTCTCAGGTGTTTACACTGAAGAATGTTTGAAATGAAATTAAAAGAGAGAAGATCAAATTCCACCTTATTGTTTTTGATCATTTCAGTTTTGAGTTCATTTAATTGGGAATGGACTTTTCATATTTTTGAGTATTTTTATAAGCATTGTTTTGGTTTTCTATACAAATAATATTTGCAAATGATTGAGTGACTTCCTAATGTCTTTGTCTTTACTGGGTGATGGTGTATGTATGTATGTTTTCCCCAATTTTAAAGAGTTTTTGTAAATAATGCTTTGTGAGCACTTTCTGTTTCTAATTTTGTCTGCTTATATGATGGCAAGTTTTGGCAGACGTTTTACAAATCAATTCTGTATGATACGGTTTGAACTTCTGGTCATTCCTGTGATTTTGAAGTTGTGAAGTTTTGCTTTGTTTTATATTTTCATGCTTTGTGATACACAATTTTTTAGTTTTATTATTTGACACCATTTATGAGCACTTGATTAAACTTAAACCTTATGAGATAAGATCGGTAGTCGTCAGGTTTAGGAGATGGGAAAAGGACTTTAGAGCTATGGTATTGAAAAGTCATGCTTCTTTTTGGATGCGGTTTAGGAGATGGGAAAAGGACTTTAGAGCTATGGTATTGAAAAGTCGTGCTTCTTTTTGGATGCCTGTTTAAATTCCTCGTTTATAAAGACTCGTTAGAACTGGAATAGAAAGTTATTTGTGATGACATAGAATCTTTTCGTATGAATCTTGATGTTTTAGTTTTTTACTTTACGATGGGTTTTCTTCATGCTTAAAAAGATAAAAAGTAGGCAATGAACAAATATAGTTCTGGACAGGTCCTTTTTATGACATTCGTTGTGTAGCTCTCTCTGTGTCAAGTCTTGATGTAATAGGAGTTTATAGAGTTTATAGAGCACAAAGAAATGAAAAGAAACCCCCACCGTTAATAACTGGTTTTATTACCTTATGTAAAGACAGTTTGTCTAGTTTGGGTTAGATAAGAGAAGGGCTATGACACAGCAAAAGAAGGGCAATGACACAGCAGTCTTTAGGTGCAGGGTAGAAGTAAGTTAGACATATACAACAGAAGAAAAGAAGTCAGACTACTTAACTTACTAGAACTATAGGTGCCCTCCAATCGCCCACTTTTTAAAAATCCTGTGATCAGTATAGTTCGTGAGTGAGAGGAGACACCTGTCCTGTTGGTGCCGGTTTTGTTGAAGGTCCTCTGCGTTATGGCAGTCTACTGTAAGTCCCAACCAATCGACCACGGTTTACGGTCTTATGACACGTCAAGCGCATCGTACGTTCCTCCTTTTTGGCCTCGGTAATGAGAGTGCTGAGAGCATTTAGATCAAAGGTGGTGGTATTTTCATTAATTATTGGGCAGTGTGGGTGGGTGGATTGGTTCATTTTGCGGTGTCGTTAAGATCTAAGAATTTTGCTTAAGATTATGATTGACAAGTAAGTTGCGTCAGCAAGTGACCAGACGGGACTATTTTCAAGAAATCAGGGGTATTAAGATCCTTATGGTGGCAGGGCACAGTGAACTGTCAGCTAGTGAGTGTATTTTCTGGCATTGTATTATTGATTTTTTTGTTCCTTGATCTTTGGGAAGCAACATGGCAAAACCAGTTGCATGTTGCACTTTAGCAATTTAACGCTATGGGTATCAGATCAAATTAAAGATCCCTCTTCAAACTCTTCAGGTAAGCGAAAACAATATTGATTCAACTTCTTTGGATTCTGATTATTAATCAACTGAACTTGAGAAATTGAAAATGTACAGTTATAAGAAAATAAAGATTTTAGCCCAATAATTGGAAACAGCTGAGTTGTTCAAGCGCCTCAAGCAGTTGCTTATTATATCATGGCTGGTTGGTGGGTTCTCTGGTATGGTTTGCTTCTTCTTTCCTATCAAACACCTGTCGTCCTTATCTCTCCTCCTTCTTTTCTTTGTTACTCTCTATTAGTAACACTTTTAATCTTCGGGGCTTATATGACTTATTTGTGTTGCAAGTGCCGTAAAACTTACTAAAACAATTTTTAAAACTTCATTGCATTTTTGTTTGGAGGATGGTGCACCTCTTACTTGAATGTCTTTTGGATATGAATACCTACATAGATCTAGTATGGTTCATAAGATGAAATGAATATTTCATCAATGAGTAGTTCATTGTTTATAAAGTGTGTTTGATAATGCTTGTCACCTTCTGACTGCCCAGATAACTGTTTGCTTGGATAGTCTTACACCATAATATACTTTGCAGCATTATCACAAATGTGTTGACAGAGGCATTAAAATCACCCAGGGATTTTCCCTAGCACAGATCTGATGTCACCTCAAGGTGTTTATGTGGTTTGTCAGTTGTTAAAGCAATATTATTGGCATCTGTGGTGTAGCCGAGTTAACGTGCAGGAGACCCCAAGTTCAGTTCCTGAGTGGGAAAATTTTTATCCAGTGTCTCGGGTCTTTCTGTTGGGACGTTTTTATCTCTCCCAGCCTGGGTTGGCCCTGACAGGCAGGGTGGAAGCCGAAGCCAGCCTCCTAAATGAGCTTAATTGTATCGATGGAGATGTGAGGACTCCTACATCAAAAAGAAAAATTGTTGAGAGATATTGTTTGAGTATGGTGTGTTGCATGAGTGAGTGCATTTCAATGTGCACTGTGTTCTACATGTTGTATGAATGTATGTTTGAAGTGGAGTCATTTTGCGTATGTTCTGAATCAGGTACGTGTTTGAATGTGTTGTGGATGAGCAAGTCTTTATGATGAGTGATTTGATCACCTGTAAACAAAATTTGTACAGAAAATTTGAAATCATGAACATGCCATACACTATTGCTTGTACACTTTTTTTTCTGTCATGTGAAATAAATCTTGTTCTTTGACATATTTTGAATCTTTCTTCTTCTTTTTTTCTCTCATGCGCATTTAAATTTCATGATATTCATCCCTTTTTTTTCTTCAGAAGTTTGAAAGTTTTTAGTCCTCCGTCCTCACTGTTTTTGAAAGATTTTAACTTGCAGAAAAAGGGCAGGACAACTTAATCCTTTTACAGCGCTTTCCTTGTTAAGAGAGGTCTGATTTTATTTATTATGAAAGTTTAATGTTTTTTGCCCTCGTTGACGCCATATCTGGTGTCTGTGGTGTAGCGGTTAGGCACCTTGCCATCACACGAGGGAGACTCGAGTTTGATTCCTGTCTGGAGAAAATTTCTATCAAGCATCTCAGTTTTCTGCTTAGATGTTCTATCTCTGTCAGCTGGGGTGTCGTTGATGGGTGGCGGTCCAGCTGGTGTGGTTTGTTCCATCTTTGAAACATCCCTCTCTCTCCTTCTTTTCTTTGTACATTTGTTACCCTGTAGTAAAGCTTCTAATTTCCCAGCGGCATTGATACTCTGTGAGCCGTTTCTTAGCCGAAGTTGTCCCCCTTGTTCTGCCGCTTCTGGATTGATCCCAAGGAGGTTTTACAGTAAGGTCCTTGGTTGATCCTCACGGGTGTTTCTGACGATGAACCAATTCCACAGACAATGGATGGTGCTAACATCAGTCCCCAGCACACTTGTTGTTTCACATTGAAATTGAAACGATTGGCTTAGCCCTACCAAAGTATCCAATCGATTCTTGGAAACTTTCTGATATCGTGTCCAAATGTGGCCTTTTAATGGTCTGTTGGTTTCCAGGGAAAGGAGGTACGAGTAGTAGTAGCAATGATAGTACATAACAAGATGGGCCACTCAGCCAAAAAAGTGTCCGCAGGAAGTATGCTCTTTGCTTCAGATGGCGCTGCAGTCTATTTTGAAGCTCTCTTTCGTTTTTCCAGAAGAAGAATAGGAATAGCACCTCCTTGCGTGCGCAGATCGACTGCTGTTCATCAGCAGTTCGGGTACGTTCAGTGCGTAGTTTTAGGTTTTTTTTTTATTTTAATGACCTCTCGCCTTTCATTCTAAAGTCAAATTAAACGAAGAAAACCATAACCCTTTCCTCCGGAAGAGGTTTTTTGTCAGCGTAACCATTTTAAAAAAGCGTTCTTCCGAAATTTATTCCAAAACATGCTAGTTTCACTTTGATTTTTTAAAACTCAAGTAGGGTAACTCTGTTCGCAAAGAGGGCGCCACCAAATTTTGAGGACACTTTTTTAATTGGATCAAAGAGAGAAGTGGCCCATCTTGTTATGTACTATCATTGGTAGTAGTAGTGGGCACTAGTCGATATTAGCCAATATCGAGTATTGTATCGACTAAGAGAACCAAGAGCTCATCATCGATATATTATGTACTCAGTTACTTATTAAGGGATCGAACGAAGGGACGTATTTAAGTGCATTTGCATAACATTAAGAGGGTGATCTGCCGGACAAGGGGGTCACGCACAAAAAATGTATTTCTTAACATTTTGTTATTTCCTTTGAACACAAAGTAGACAAAACATTTTTATGTAACGGAAAATGGGGAGAGCACCTTCGAAAAATTCGGAAATTTTGTTCGAAAAACACATTATGTTATTCCGCCCGCACTTTTGGATTTTGTACCAAGGACATCATTGCAAAAATGAAAATACATGTATAAACTAGACTTCTTTATAGCTTGTCATTCCAGTTTTTCGATATCTGTTCCAATTTGTGTATAGCGGGAATTCAAATTTGATGCTTTTATGGGTAAAAATTCTGAGGGCATATTTCCTTTACCTTTAAAGATATCTAAAAATTGGTATAACACACTGTAGACAATGATTTGTCAAATAACTGTGCAAAGTAAAGTGTGAAGGTAATTGGTCCATAAATAAAGAAATTAGGCTGCCCGCAAGGACCAAAATCCTCAATTTTCATAGAAAAAAATGGACTGAAAAAGTTTACATTCCACATACCACAGCGGCTATTGTGCTCCTCTCGCATAACATCCATCGTCTTTTGGCTCATCAGCATCTTTCCTAGCCCTTCTTTTTTCACTTTTATAGGGCCTACTCCAGAGAATCCTCTGTCATTCTTATTTCTGCTTTTTTTTAGCCCGAGGGAGTCCGCCGATAGAAAATATTGGTCCGAAAACTTGCCACTGTCAATTTGCATGTTTGCATGTTGCCAAGTAGGCCTACAGGTTGTACGCCTTTCATGGAATTGTTAAACAGGATTGTTCCTAATCCAACAGCAGTGCTCACAGTTTTTAATCCATGGGAGGTATTTATAGAACACATTTTCCCAATCATTTGGCTATACGACTCATTGGCATTCTGGGTGTACCCGTCAAGACATTTTTTTCAGAAAGTATAGGCCTAGTTCGAAAGTACTTAATAAACGAAGAGACCACAAAAACATTAGTAACATCTCTTATCCTATCTAGATTAGACTATTGTAACTCACTCCAAGCAGGTCTGAACAACACATATTTTAATTGTTTACAAGTCATTCAAAACAATGCCGCTAGACTGATAAGATCTAAAAAAACGAGACCATG